GCTTGAACAACATTTGTGTGACACTAATCATCTCTACTTGAGCAGTTCATCTCTCCAGTAAATTGTATATTCAAGTAAAAAGTGATCTCTTGTGGTTCTTTAGTATTTTTCATTGAGTTTAGTGCAATACTGTAAACCTTAACTAAAACCAAGGGGCCCATACAGAGTGCCACTAGTGATCCTGAAAGTACCCCCAGGAAGCAGAGAAAAGTCATGACATTACAAGAAAAGGTTGAATTGCTTGATATGTACCATAGATTGAGGTCTGTAGCTGTGGTTACCCACCATTTCAAGGTAATGAGTCCAATGTAAGGACTATTGAAAAAAAGAAAATTCGTGAAGCTGTAGCTGCAGCTATACCAGCAGGCTCAAAAACCTTGCACTTTTGGGAAATGCTTTTATCTTATATTAAAAATGCAGCTTTTATGTGGGTGCAACTGCAATTGCTGTAAGAAACGTGTATCTATAGACTCTAATATGATTTGAGAAAAAGTGAAGTCATTATATGACAACTTAAAAGGAAAGTAAAAGATCTAAAGCTGGAGCATTTAATGGCAGCAAAGGATGGTTTGATAATTTTAGAAAGAGGTTTGGCTTTAAAAATGTCAAAATAACAGGAGAAACAACATCTGTTAGCAGGAGAATTTCTAGAAACCATTAAGAAGATCATTGAGGAGAAAGGTTATCTGCATGAACAGGTTGTTAGTGCAGAAGAAAGTGCCCTATTGTGGAAGAAAATGCTACAAAGTACATGTATTATTAAGGAAGTGAAACAAGCATCAGGATTTAAGGCAGAAAGGGGTAGGCTAACTCTACTGTTTTGCACAAATGCAGTTGGTTTTATAATTAGGACTTCTTTTGTCTATAAAACTGCTAGTTCCTGAACCTTGAAGGGAAAAAATAAACACCAGCTTTTGGTTGTACAGCAAGAAGGCCTGGACAATAAGAATGCTTTTTCAGGACTGGTTCCCTGAACAAAGCATTGGCTTTGTTCTTGAAGTCGGAAAGTACCTTGCCAATAACTTTTTGTAGTTCTTTTGACGTT